CAGGCCTGGGTGCTTCTCTTGGTTGGTTTTACTCCCAGGAATGCCAGGATCTGCTCCTGGTGAGAGTGCAGGTACCCAGCAGGATCCAGCCTCTGCTCATCCTGGTGAACCTGAACCATCCCACCCGTGTGCATGGCAATCCCTCTCCACCAAACCATTCTTTATCCTCCCAATTTGACTTTCCAGGGAGGGTCAGGTGGTGGAAGGACACCTCCAGGGAGTGATGGGCTCTTACCGGCAGCAGCCAGCTCTCGTCCAAGAAGCTGCAATTCTGCAAACAAAGGAGTGTTAGCAAGGAAGGGGCTGGGGCCCCGCCTTGGCAGCCCTGTGCTGGTCACCACCCCACTGATTCACCTGCAGGTCCAGGGAGAAATCCATCTCTGTCAGCACCAGCAGCAGCGAGAGGAAAGGCTCTGCAGAGGGATGGGGATGGAGAGGCAGTGTCACCGCCAGGTTCCTGGCAGCCACAGCCTCACAGGGACACGGCAGAGGACAGAATAAAGCCATTTTCAGTGTAACTAATGAGCCCTGGGAGCGAGGCCTTGAGAGCATCCCAGCACCACAGCAGCCAGGCTGCTGCTGGAGGCTCATCCCAGGTTTTGCTGCTGGCACGGGTGCAGCTTGCTACCTGTTTTCCCCAAATTCAGATCAAAGCTTGCAGCAAATGCTCTCTGTTTGTCCCCCTGGAAGCACAGCCAAGCTGCCCAGGCTCTTCTGCAGCAGCCTTGCAATCACAGGGCCAGGCCTGCAATCTGCTCCTGCACCAGCAGCACGGGTGATTTATAAACCATCGATGCACAGGTTTAACGTGGGGTTATTTATCATAATCAAAAGATTAAAGGCTTCCACCCTTTCCTGGCCCCCCAAGGAGCTCGGCTGTGGGTGGATGGAGTGCTGCAGCCTGTCAAGGCAATGCAGCCATTTAAACCCCCCGTGTGACCCCTGAGCCCAGGCCCATCTGACACAGCCTCCCCTCAAAGCCAGAGCAGGTCTGCTTAAACCAGAATCCTTGGTACAAAGGAATAACAGGGAAGAAGAAATTCCCCTATGCCACACCACTAAAGCCAACCATAGATGGATTCAAACCCTGTTTTAATATTTACACCTATTTTTTCCCCCACCCATCACTGCAGCAGCGTATTTAGATTCCAGCACTAAGTTTGGATTAGAAAAATCACAGTGGACTCTTTCCCCCTCCCCTGCAGCAGTGCAGTGCCACAACACCGGGCTGCATCCCGCCTCGGGTGAGCCACCATCTTACCCCGGAGATCTTCACTGCCGAGGATGGAGCTCTCTGGATCGTAGAACTGAAACACAGCGAAGCGGCACCAATGATGGCCCCGTTCCGCAGCCCATCGCCCGTGGGCAGCTGCTGTCCCCAGTGCCGCACCTCCAGGAGCCGGGGGCTCTGTGCCAGCTGCCTCACGGCCACCGCCAGCACCTTCCCTTGCAGGGCCAAGCGCACAAAGTGCCGCCCCCGGCCCTGCGCCGTCCGYGTCCGCTCACAGCCCGCGGYTCTCCGGATGCTGGCGGAGAGAGGGCTCGGCCTGTTTGGGGAGAGGGGAGGCAGCTTTAGCAACACACGGGAGTGTCCTCCCTGCGCCTGGGGTCTTTGGGATGAGCATGTCGCGACAGGCACCACCACAGCTCAGATTGTCACCCCATCCAGCTCGGGGACACTCACCTGCCGCCGGTGCCCGTGGGGAGCTGCTCCAGCCAGTGCCAGTAATCCCGTCTGCGGAAGCCCCAGGCCGGTTCTGCGGGAGGAAGGGAATGCCAAGGAATGCACGCACTCCCTTCCCTGCTCCGAGGGCCCCGGGACCTGCCACCCCCTCCCGGGCACGGAGGGTCACTCACGTCGGAGCCCCTTGCGCAGGATGCTCTCCAGCAGCTGGCACAGCGACACGAGGTGCGGCGAGGTGTCCGTGCAGGGCCCGCCGCCGTCCCGCAGCCGCAGCACCGCTCCTGCGGGCACAGAGAGGGCAGCGGCACCCGTGGGTGCCCAGCCGGGAGAAGGGGAGGGGGCACACCCAGGGGACAGCTCTGCACGGCCCCGAGGGGTCCGGCACGACCCGGCCCTCCCCGTCTGGCGGCTCTGGGCAGGAGCTCGGGTGAACCTCCCCGCGGCCACGGCCGGGCTGGCCAGGGGAGCCCCGCCGTCCGTCCGGTCAGACCGGTACCGGTGCGCGGCCGAGCGCTGCTGGAAGGGGCCAGGCTCACCTTTAAGGGCGCTCAGCAGCGGCTCTTTCCTGGCCATGGGCTCGTTCTCCCCCGGGCCGGGACCGAGACGGCGGCTGGACGGGAACGGGGAACCGGGAACGGGGAACGGGGAACCGGGAACGGGGAACGGGAACGGGGAACGGGGAACCGGGAACGGGGAACGGGGAACGGGAACTGGGAACGGGGAACGGGAAACGGGAACGGGAAACAGGAACGGGAAACAGGAACGGGGAGCCGAGAACCGGGAACGGGGAACGGGAAACCGGGAACGGGGAACGGGAAACGGGAACGGGAAACCGGGAACCGGGAACCGGGAACCGGGAACGGGGAACAGGAAACGGGGAGCCGGGAACGGGGAACGGGAAACGGGGAGCCGGGAACGGGGAGCCGAGAACTGGGAACGGGGAACGGGGAACGGGGAACGGGGAGCCGGGAACCGGGGAACGGGGAACCGGGAACAGGGAACCGGGAACAGGGAACCGGGAATGGGCCCCGCCCCAGGAGCGGAGCGGAGCAGCCCGGCCCCACGGGCGGGGGAAACTTCACTCACACACAGGTGTACGTGTACTTAAACTGAAAGCGCAAACACGGATGTGCACGGGTGTAACGCAGAGACACATATACACATTTATCTGCACAGATGTAACAGTTCCATACATTGTACCGGCAAAACCCGCATCTGTGAGACACCCGGTCAAACAGACGCACATTTACACGTGTGTTAGGGCAGGCTTTGGCATGTGGGTGTATGTGTTATAAAGCCTCGGTGCGGGCCCTGCCGCGGGTACACACGGGGTGCGTGTGGGCGAGTGCTCGCCCCATCCGTAGGGATGGCCAAACACGAACAGCGATTCCGAGAACGGCGCGAAGGGGCAGTGAGGGACCCGGGGGTGGTGCGAGACACGGGAACGGTGCGGAAAACGGGAACCGTACGGGACCTGGGGGCGGTGCGGAACACGGGAACCGTACGGGACCGGGGGCGGTGCGGGACCGGGGGCGGTGCGGGCTCCATCAGGGGCGGTGCGGAACACGGGAACAGTGTGGGCTGACCGGGGGCGGTGCGGAACACGGGAGCGGTACGGGCTGACCGGGGGCGGTGCGAGACCTGGGGGCGGTACGGGCTGACCGGGGGCGGTGCGGGACGCTCGAGGGAGGTGCGGGATCCATCGGGGGCGGTGCAGCTCGGCCATGGCGGAGCCGGTGGATCCCGGTTCGTCCCCGCTGCTGGCGGCCGCTCGCCGGGCGCACGAAGCGGCTTTCGGGGGTGCGGCGGTGCTGGCGGCGTGGGCCCCCGGCCGGGTCAACCTCATCGGGGAGCACACAGACTACAACGGCGGCTTCGTGCTGCCCATGGTAAGGGCCGTGCTCCGTCGCTCCGCCCCGGGCTCTCGCCGGGTCACCCTTCCGGGTCCTCCTGGCCACCGCCTTCCCACCCCCGTCCCAGGATGTCCCCTCCAGGACACCCCACCCCGGACCTTGAGGGATCCTCCAGGATCTCCCTTTCACCGTTCTGCCCCCGGGATCCCCTGCCCAGGACCAGGGGGTTCGGAGCAAGACCCGCTGCTGCCCCCTCTACAGACCAACTCCTCACTCGCTTCAGGGCGAATGTGATTCCTTTTCCCCAACCTCCTCTCCAAAGAGCCTTTTTTTTCCTGACCCCGTCAAACAACTTCCCAGCGGGCGAGGTTTTGGGGGCAGAGATGCTTCAAACAGCAGGAGCTTCCTGCTTCTTCCGCGCTCCTTTGGCTCAGCGAGGAAGTCCCCACTGAGCCCTAAATCAAGCCTATATCTAATTACTGTGAGGCCGAGGAGCGTGGGAGCGGGGCAGCTGAGTTCCCTGGCAGGCAAGAAAACTTCCTGAAGCCTCTCCCGTCCCTGCCGCGGTCCCCGCTCCCCCGGAGCCCAAAAAGCGGCACCTGGGGCCGGGCTGGGGGCTCAGACACAGCATTCAGTGGGAGACTGACCCTGTGTGTCAGTGAATAGCCAGGAAATTTCATTCYGTGCCAAGCCAGAGTGTGCAGTGGGGGTTCTGCGGGGTTAAGGAGAACGCTTGGTGCTCCGGCTTTGGGCTGAAGCAGCCACCGCTGTCCCCTGCCACCCCTGGGGATGTTCCAAGGGATGCCGCGGGATCTGAGCCCACCTTCCCCACCCCAGGCCCTGCATCTGGGCACGGTGCTGGTGGGATCCCCCACGCAGGACGGGACCATCACCATCGTCACCACCTCGGCGCAGGCGGAYGAGCCCCGCAGGGTGCAGTTCCCGGCTCCCCGCCCCGGCAGCCCCCTGAGCCCGGGGCTGCCCTGCTGGGCCAACTACGTGAAGGGAGCCATCCAGCACTACCGGGGTAAGGCCGGGCTGCGGCTGGAACAGAGCCCGCTTGCTGGGACTGGTGCTCAGAGCCGCCTTTGGGAGCGCTCCGGGGCTCTTCCAGGGCCGGTGCGATCCTGCAGCTCTGCCGGGACCGGGCTCCAGCAGAGTCAGCKCAGCCCCAAATGTCCCTGTGCTCGGGGGATGCCACGCTCTGCTGTGGTCACGCTGTGTTCTGAAATGTTGGGCAGGGGCTCGCTGTAAACTGTGGGGCACACCCAGCCCTGCAGGAGCCCATGGCCCCGCTCCTCCGTTCTCTTCCCGCAGGTGGCCCCGTGCCSGGTTTCAGCGCTGTCATAGCCAGTGACATCCCCCTGGGCGGGGGCCTGTCCAGCTCGGCCGCTCTGGAGGTGGCCACTTACACCTTCCTGCAGCAGCTYTGCCCCGGTAAGGCAGCAGCCAGTCCTGGGCCCTGGCATCTGTTTCCAGGTGGGAGCTGGGATGAGGGGGTGCTCTCAGCAAGATCCCATTGGGGAAATGCTGCTGTGGAGTGGGGCACAATTGCCCACTGCAGCCAGAGCTGGCACTGCCAGCCTGCGTGGCTTGTTTGGCTCATCCAGCCTGACCTGCCCAGAGCTCTAAAATCCATGGGTCACGCCTGGGGCTGACCAGGATGGTGAGAGGATATTCCCTTGGGAGCATCTGCTCCCCAGCCTCAAGTCCCCAGAAATGGAGATATTTGAGACACCAGTGTCGAATTGTCACATCCAGCTGGATCTGGGGACCCAGGCTGGCACGGCTGCYATGCAGTGGTGCAGGAGCCAGCCCTGCACCTGCAAAACCCCATTCCACGGGAAAACAACCCTTYACTTCTGTGTTTGCTCCCCCTGCTCCAGGGCAAGGGACCAGGATCCYGGATCTGCTAACCCCTGTGTCTCTGCTGTGGCACAGATGACGGGGATTTGGTRGCCAAGGCGCTGGCGTGCCAGAAAGCGGAGCACACGTTTGCTGGGATGCCCTGCGGGATCATGGACCAGTTCATATCCGTGATGGGCAAGGAAGGCCAYGCACTGCTCATCGACTGCAGGTCAGGGCTGAGCGCTGAGCTCCCTGTGCTGTGCCCTCCTTGGGCAGCTGGGGCCGAGCTGGTCCTGTGGCCATGAAATAAGGCTGGGAGAGCAGGGAGGGGTTAACCTTTGAACCCAGCCCAACGCTTCATCATGGGGATGGGGCTGCCTGCATTTTAAATCCTCCTTGTCTTGATTCCTCCTCCTGTAACCTTTCTGCCTCTTGCCTGAGCTGTCTTTCCTGTGGTCATTTTGGAATTAAGGGAATGAATAGTTGGGACTGTGGAACTCGTAGCTGGGAGGGTGTGAGATGCCTGTGTGAAATCCTAAACCACCTGGACTTTGCCTCTGTGGTTCAGGAGCCGCCTGCCACGTGGCCTCACTCAGGTGTCCAAGGRCCAGGGAGGGCAGGGGGGACRGGCACATGGCTGARCTCTCCCTGCAGGTCCCTGGAGACYGTCCTTGTCCCGCTGACCGATGCCAGCCTGGCCGTGCTCATCACCAACTCCAACGTGCGGCACACACTGACGGGCAGCGAGTACCCCACGCGCCGGAGGCAGTGCGAGGAGGCAGCGGCGGCTCTTGGCAAGGCCAGCCTGAGGGATGCCACCCTGGCCGAGCTGGAAGGTGGGGACAGTCCCTCCCTGGGCTCTGGCTGCTCCTTGGGGCATCAGGAGCCTGTGGGACAGTCCCCAGTTCAGGCAGTGGGTGCTCACGCTGTGTGGGAGTGGCTGCACGCAGAGGAGCTTTGGCCCAGGGTGGTGGCAGCGTGCAGCCGTGCTCCCCCAGCAGCACCCACAGACAGGGAGGATTTGCTGCAGGGACACAAATGTCCCCACAGGGGCCAGGGGGCGGCTGGGGGACGAGGTGTTCCGGAGGGCCAGGCACGTCATCGGCGAGACAGCGCGCACAGCCCAGGCAGCGCAGGCGCTGCAGCACAGGGACTACAGGATGTTCGGGAGGCTGATGGTGGAGAGCCACAACTCCCTCAGGTGAGGATGGCCGAGGGATGCTCACAGCCTTCCTCACGTGTCCCTGCACTTGCAGGCAGGGCTGGGCTGGGATCTGCATCATCTGGCACTGCTGTGACGGCAGTGACTGCACCAGGACACAGATTTCAGCTGTCACAGCGGCTGGGTCAGGGTGCAGGGCAGGGCAGAGCACTGTCTCCTCTCTCCAGGGATGACTATGAGGTGAGCTGCCCCGAGCTGGACGAGCTGGTGGCAGCAGCCCTGGAAGTGGATGGGGTTTATGGCAGCAGGATGACCGGGGGAGGCTTYGGAGGCTGCACGGTGACGCTGCTGGAAGCTGGGGCTGCAGAGAGAGCCCAGAAACACATCCAGGTACRGGGCAGAAAAGCACAAAAAAGAGACAAAGAGCCCAAGGGAACACTCAGGAGCACTGTTGAAGTGTCACAGCTGAGCCATTGGGGGTTGGTGGAGCCCAGGCAGAGGTAGCCCCAAGGCTGTTGATGGCACTGAGCTCTTGCAGTCAGTGCCAGTCACAAGGCCATGCCCCAGGAACTCGCTGCATTGAGAAAGGGAGTCAAAAGGTGCTGGGGGAGCTTCAAAAGGCTAAATCCATCTACAGAAAAGTGATCTGAGCTCAGCATGGACATTGCTGAGCTTGACATGCACAGTTACATCCCAGGAAAGATCTCAGTGCCATCCCATATTCCCTAAATCAGCACCTGGGTGTGCACAGGCTCCTGGAAACGCCAGCAGAACAGGGGTGTCCTGACACCGAGGCACAGCATTGCTTTGCTGCTCTCTGAGGTCATGGTGCACCCTCTGAATATCTGGGGGGGGGGTGGTTAGAAGGGGCAGAGGATGATCTGAAAAGAGGAGAGACTGAAAGGGCTGTGTCTGACACAGGTGGGAGAGAGGGAACATGATCAGGAGTTACAGTGCAGTGAGGGGTGGAGGTGGAGTGTAGAGTGACCAGCTGGACCTTGCTCCCCATCTCTGGCATCCCCCACCCCAGAACCCCAGCCRTGACTGCTGCTCTTGTTTTTCAGGAGAAATACAGTGGCACAGCCACCTTCTACCTCACCAAGCCCTCGGCAGGGGCAAAGGCTCTGCCCCTGTAGAGGAGTGACCACCTCACCTGGGAACCTTGGGCTGGCATTGCCTCCCTCCCAGAGGCTTTCCCAAGGGAACCAGTGTGGCCATCTGCATCATTTGCCTAATAAATGCAAAACATTTGCACAGTGGTYCTGTGCCCACCTGAGCCAAAATCACTGGGGATTGTTTCTCAGAGGAGACTGGTTTAACTCCAGTTTGCACTCCCAGGRTGTGGGGGCAGCAGAGCTGTGGTCACAGGAGGGGATGGCAGTGAGGGAGCAGCAGGCACTGACACTTGGCACAAGTTCCTGTGTGGGAATCTGCCTCTGGCACAGGCCCTGCCTCTGCTGCAGATGGAGGATATTGCAGTGGRGAGGGATTTTTWWAAWTTWMYTYYWAAAAAAAAAAWWAAAMKAAAGAGGCAGAATATAGAGAAAATATTTATTGAGTGCAAGAAGAAGCCATCTGATCACAGACCTGATCTAGATCCACCCTGGAAAGGCTGGAACAGCACCAGCCTCCAACAACCAGATGGAATTAAAAACCACAGGCCTGGGTTAGTGCATGTGCAGAGGGATGGCCTGAGTCCCTGGAGAGCARCTGCTGGGCCACGCTCTGCTCTTGGATCAGGATCATCTTTGGTTAAAATGCTTGGAAAACTCCCTTTCTAGGCAGTTCTCGGTGTTTTACCCTGGAGAACAAAGCCCAGGGAAGGGATCAGAGAAAAACCCCAGCCCCAGGTGAGATGGGAATAGGGAGGGAGGCAGGGTCATGCTACTGGCACTTGCTCAGGAGAAACAAGTGCTTCTCAAAGGTACAGGAAAACCACAGGGCTGGTGAAGGATCCCTTGAGCCACATTTAAAGCTGATCCAGCTCCATCCACAATGCTGGAGGCTCCTGTGGGCTTGATTCACCCACATTCATGGTTGGCTGGAAGATGTACAGTTCCTCACCAACTGTGAAAGAAAAAGCCTGGAGAGGGGAGGGAACTGTTGGTGGTAAGCTCTTCTTCAGAATCCAAAAGAAAAAAAAAGAAATTAAAAAAAAAAACCAATAAAAAGCATCAAGGTCCATTGTAAGATCAAAGCAGGCTGCTGATGCTGCCAGGGGGCCCAGGCAGCTGCTGTTTWGGTTGGAAGCTCCAACCCAGGGGCAGCTGCTGYTCCAGGCAGGCTCCTGGCAGGCTCCTCGCCTGCTCCCATGCAGCTGGAACATGCCAGGGAAACCTTGCACTGCTTGGCAGCACTGAGCCCGATTATTCTCCCTGGTAGAGGGCAGGAACACGCCAGGGATCTGCCCAGTGCTGGGAAATGAAGCCCAGCAGGCTCTCAGCTCAGTCAGCCCCATGGGAGGGGTGCTGAAGCTGGGGCTGGAGGAGTCTCAGGGGTGCTCAGGATGGTGGGAGCACCTGCTGTCCCAGGCTTGYTCTTCCTTTGCATTTGCTGATGGATCACAGGTCCCTTTATGGACGTTGTTGCTGGGCAAAAAATCTTTAAAAAGATACCCAACATCATCTCCCWCTCTCCAATCATCTGTGTGAGGAATCCCAGCACAGTTCCCATCTCRCCTGCTGGGGCCATCCCCATCCTTGGCCCCCCTTGCTCCCAGCCCTTCTGTGTCCACGGGGATGCTCTGCAGTGAGTGGATCTGGCCCCTTGCAATTTTCTGCTGGAGTCCCTGGTGCTGGAGGACACAAGGCCCAAGGCAGAGCCCCCCAGATCATCCCCCAGGGTTCAAGGGGCCTTTGGATCAAGCCCTTAACTCATTTCTTCCAGTTGTTCATGTTCCTSAGCAGCCACAACCCCAGTGTAGCCTCCACATTCAGCACAGATCTCATCCACCTCGATATTTTTTTTTATAAAATAATAAAATACATTTATATATATATTTATATATATACTATGAAAACTGTACAATGTTGTATGCAAAAATAAAAAAGCAYCAGAGGCCATCAAGTGACGCAACACAAACAGAAGGTTATTCTTGGCTATCGTGGTACCAAATGCCAGCAGTGAAGGACAAACACAAATAGATGCAGCAAGAAAGCACAGGTTACCCCAAAACCCTGCCTTGCAGCTCTCATAAAAAAAACCCAAACTGAACAAAACAACCATCTCCAGAGGACAGGCAAGCTGCCAGAGAGCCTGGAGCAAAGATGGGAAYGGTGACCCTCTATAAATCAGGATTTTGACATCTGAGATCCTCTCAAAACTGAGAACCTGAGAATGAATCATTCTGTTCCATTTACCTGGGGAGGCTGGAGCCATGCAGACACCCCAGTTTCAGCCCTGAAGGATGAGCTTACACACCCAGAGAAGTGCAGAGCTTGGAGTGCCACGGAGGGTCTGTGCCCACAGGAGGAGCTGCCCAGGCACCGCCTGGATGAAGCACTCTTGGGTTGTTCCATCAAATCCTGCCATCCRACCCCAAAAGTCCCGCTGGAGCTCAGCCTGGCCTGGCTCAGGCCTCGTAGAACTGCCTGTCCAGGTGCTGGGTGAGGGTCCCGCTGGCCATCACAGTGCGGCTCACGAACTCCTGGGTCAGGGTGCTGCTGGAGCTCTCCAGGCGCTGGGTGCTCACCAGCATCCCGTCTGCAAGGGGAACACACCGAGKGTGGGGTCACGGGGGCTGCTCTGCCTCCTGACCCCGGGCAGTTTGTCACAAACACCGCTTTCTGTGATGGAAAACCTCTCCACCCCCAGTGATTCAGTGCTTTGCTGTCACTCAATACGAGGGATCCCCTAACAGCTCCCAAACTGTCCGTGTGGAAGCACAAACCTGTGAGCTCAGGTGGGACAGCACAGGACAACTACACTCATGTGATTAAAGATGTTTGTCCTGCTGCCCTGTTCTTTTTCTGCTCTGAAGAGATCAACCAGATCTCATTTTTTCTGCTCTGAAGAGATCAAACCTTGCAGGAAGAGCTGTGATCTGATCTCTAGTGATAGTGCTGGAGCAGTCTGGCGTTCAGCATTCCCTCCAGGACTGGGCAGCATGGGTGGACATGACTGCAGCTGACCCCATGGCAAAGCAAGGACACGGTGCAGGAAAGGGGCTGACCCTCTCCATCAATCCCACCCAATGGACCCTCCTCCCCTGCCTTTGGCACTTGAGGTAAAAGCAGCCTCAGCCCTTTGGATGAGCAGAATTATCCTTTTTTTTTTTTTTCCTGAGGGCTTCAAAGCAACCCTGAGTCCGTACCTGTGAAGTGGGGATCCAGAGAGGARTGGCTGATGCTGGTTTTGGTGGTGTATTCGGTGGGGAATTTGTAAACTTCTTCTCTCATGTACTGCTGTCCTCCAAACTGGGAGAAAGCACCTGGGGAGAAGGAAAAGGGGCGAGTCAGCCAAGAAATGGCAGGGAGCTTCCAGCTGTGAGCACCAGCAGGCTCTGGAGGTTCCCAGAGCCAGGTTCAGGAGGAACTGGGAGGACTGGGAAGGTCTCACGCCTGGGCAGTGAGGAACAATCTCATGCTTGGGTGTTTGTACAACCAGGCAGAAGTTTCACCAAAAATTAAACARGGGCAGGTTCTCCCTCATCCAGGGCTCTGGGACTGGGACACTGCTCAGCAGGCACAGCCCTGTTCTCATGGAAAACCTCAAATCTGTGTCCTTCACAGAGCACRGGGTCACCACCAGAGCTGGAAGGGRCCTGCAGGAGTTGTGCTCCCTGCTCTGAGAGGTTTCTCTCTGCACCCCTACAAAGCAGGGCACCGCACCTCTGTCCTGAGATTCAATGGTGATGAGGCCCTCCCTCTCSGGCCCGAAGCCCTGCGTGGTGTTGGCTTGCACTTTGAACTTGTACGGGACATTCTCGCTCAGGTGGGGCACGGTCAGCGTGGTCTCCAGGTTGTCTCCTTCCACGTAGATGGTCCTGGGCTCCCCTAATCCATACAGACATGGAGTGGTGAAGACAGAARCAGTGATGGTGCCTCCAAACACCCCCCACTGCAGCAATAAGTAAAGCCTTATAAAACAAGGGTTAGTTACCATTATAAAACTCTTGCTCTCTCCTGTTACTTTGGCTAACCAGGGAAGGATTCTGGGAATGAATCAGCTAAACTAGAGGTGAAAAACAAATTGCATAACCCTGGAAAACAAGTGATAGAGCCTGTGAGAGCTCACACCGTGTTTGATGGCTGGTTCTGACCATTAGTCATTTCTGGTGTGACTTATGGTGGTTGGGTAAAACACTTTGCTGTCCTTCACAAGAATGTAAACCCATAACAACTAATGATTGTTAAAAACCCTGTTTTTTGCAATAAACCAATTCCTCTTTCCACGTGCCCCGGGGATCCATGTTGTTTCTCATTGCCACACCTCCCCATCCCTCATTCTGTTGCCTTGGCTGTCCCTGATCTTTGTACACCCCCGGGGCTGTAGGATCTCACCCAACCCTACCAAGGGTTGAGATAACCCTGTTTTACCACAGTGGGGAACCTCAACACCCAACCTCCCCCAGGTTTTGTGTCCACAGGCCCTTCCTCTTCCCAGCCCATTTTTTACACCAGCCCATGCAAATGGCACAAAAATCCAGGAGCCAGCAGCTCCCAGGCCTGGAATCAGCCTCGTGTCCCCACTTTTTCTGCACTGATGGAAGCAGAAAACTCTTTCACTGGTCCCAGCCAAAATGCAGCAGGTTGCTGCCTGAGCTGGAGGTATTTTGCGCTTTACACAGGGAGCTGGGCTGCCCCAGCCTGGTGCTGTACCTCCTCCGTGCAGCATCTCACAGGTGATCCTGTAGCCCAGGATGGGCCCATTGGGCTCACGGGGTCTCTCCCAGCTGAGGTGCAGAGAATCCGAGCTGAGGGCAGTGAAAACCAGCGGTCCAGGGGCACAGGGGGTGCTCAGAGTGAAGGGGGTACCTGCAAGGCCATGAGGGACGTGTCAGCAAAGGGAGCCTGGCAGGGATCTGCACACAGCATTTATGGACTGAGCTGGAAGCGCTCAGCGCTCTGGAGAAGCACCAGATGTGGGGAAGAAGGTCCTGTTCCAAGAGGAGAGGAAGGAAAGGAGAGCTCAGGATGTGGCAAGGAGAGAAAACAGCAAAGCCAGCACTGCAGGCAGCAGCAGAGACATCAGTGCCACCCTCCTGTCCCCAGCCACCTCACCTGGCACGGGACTGAGCGGGCTCTGCGGGTCCACCTGGGACTCGATGGTGATGACTCCCTCCCTCTCGGGCCCCCAGCCCTCCTCGCTCTGCGCCTTCACCTTGAAGATGTACGAGTGGTTGGGCAGCAGGTCCTCCACCACCACYGAGTTCTGGCTGGGGTTGGGGATGGTGATCCTGTGCACCTCTCCTGGGACACACAGCCAAGGGGACGTCAATACCACATTGCAGGCACAAAGACAGAGCCACAACTTTCACCTAAACTCGATCCTAAACTGCCTGGGAATGCCATCCAAGATCCCTCCCCAACCACCTCTGTCACACCTTGTCACCAACAGTGGCTAGCACAGTACAAGATAGTTCTTTGTAAAAAAAATAAAAATTTGGGATAAATAACAGCTTCTTGAAAACTCAAAGATTTTCAGATAAAAGAATTACATTTTCACTAATGCTGCCCTGAGATTCATGTAAAAATAATTTTCAGTTCAATCCTTCTTCCAAGTTGCATGTGTTGAAAAACCCTTCACAGAAGATGTTCGGGCTGATGGAGGGAATCAGTCAAAGGGGGTTTCTTTGGAGGAAAGGTGATTCTACAAGCAACCCCTGGAATTGTTCTCCCTCTAGGAGAAACAGGGAATGAAAGCTTTRGGGGAGCTGCAACATTTCCTGCATGGAAAGAAAAGGCTACACAAGAAGCAGATTTGGGATCCTGAATCCCAGAATGGYTGAGGTTGGAAGGCACCCCTGGAAGGGATCTGACCCAACCCCCCTTGCTCAGAGCAGGCTCATCCAGAGCCAGAAGAGCCAGAGCACACCCTCCACCACCCCAAACCCCCACCAAGCACCCCGTGCCTGCTCACTGACCTCCGTTGAGGAGCTGGTACTGGACACTGTAGCCCTGCACGTCCTTCTCRCAGCGCGGCTCCTGCCAGCTGACCTTGAGGGACGTGGGGCCCAGGGCAGAGAACACCAGGCGGGTGGGGGTGTCGGGGATACCCAGAGGTTTCCTGGAGTCTGAGGCAGAAAGGGAACATCAGGCTGGAGAATTGGGGCATGGGGGTTAAGGGAGCTGGGGGAGAGGAGGRGATGGCACACATAAACATGGGATGGTCCTGATGGTTTGGGGAGGACGTGGTGAGATGTCACCTCTGCAAGCTGAGCTGTCCTGAGGGGGCACTGGCTGGCTCTGCACAGCTACAGGGGTGTCCCATRGCCTTGGGGTGCCCAGCTTGGGTGGCACAAGTTAAGTTAAGCTCTATGGCCCTGTGTCAGAGAGCATGGAGCCGGTACCTGGCACTGGGTGTGACCCTCCTCACTCACTCCTGAACACCCTGTCCAGACTGCAGAAGCTTCACAGACCTCATCAGGTGTAGCTCAGACAAAACTGGCCCCAACCCACAGCTAAAGCATCCCAACATCTCCAGGCCCTGCTCATGTGGCCAGGGACCACATCTGGGTGCTCCTCAGCTCATCCCAGGGGTACACCAGGCTCACGGAGAGCACAGCAGCCTCCCAGGTGACACACGGGGGCTGAAGCCCCTCAGAGACAAGGAACTTGCAGAGGGACATCTCCTAAGGAGCACACGYTCTCCCCAAGAGTCCTCCAAAGGCCTGTGGAGTAACACTGAGAACAAGAAGCTCGTTAGGAATGAGAGAATGGGGACARTGGGTTGATCAGAGCATGGTGGCAGCAGTGGTGGCAGGTGTTAATCAGTCCAGGTGGGTTGGAACACAGCAGAATTCACCTGCAAATGGAAAGGTGATGTGATGGAGGCACAGCTGGGTCAGGAGGAAGATCAGCACACAGCAAGCCATGGACAGGGGGTTTAGGGTGGATGGGTGGTGGCTGGGCTGTTATGGGATGTGTGGCCAGGAGCAGACGCTGCACAAGCTGTACCTATGAACTTGCCCATCCCTGCAGGCAGGATTATAGAGTCCCGACAGCCAATGCTGGGGTAGTAACCCTTCACCTTGGCCCTGCTCCTCAAACCCATGTCCCGGGGCCGGGGCAGGGTCCTCCCAGCATCTTCATGGATGGGAGGGAGGAGCRTCCCCGGGGAATCTACAGAAGCAGTGCAAGAAGAAAGAGAAAAACACCATTGGAGACTCCAGAGCAGGGTCAGGCCAGGCTCCTGCACAGGTGAAATTGAARGCTCGAGTTTGAAGAACCTTTTAACCTCTTTTTGTCAGCACCAGCTGACACACATGGAACTGAAAGGCAACCACGTTGCTGGATAGAGTGAGGAGAGATGTGCTCTCCCTGGATCACTTCATGGTGTGAGGATGAGGATGGAGCTCCCTTCCCTGGGCACCCTGCACGTGAGGGTTGGGAACCCTTCCCAGACTGGTCTGGGAGCASAGAGGCCTTAGCAGAGCATCAGCAGTGAGGACATGGCCCTCCAGACCTGCAGCTCTCAGGCCYCCTTAGCTGTGAGCACACTCCTCACCCCAAAAGGACTTTAGGGCAGGGTCCCAAAACAGTCTTGGGCGTGGAAGGAAAGGACAGGTGCCATCACTGTGGTACTCACCGTGCCCCATCAGCATGGTGGAGTAGTCTCTGGTCAGCGAGGAGCTCCCCATCACCCTGTGCTCCTGGTGTGTGTGKGAGCTCAGCTGGTGGTAGCTGGTGTTGGCTGTCCTGGTCAGGGTGCCGCTGCCGCTGCCAGGGAAGGAGAAGTCCACCCGGCCGTTCAGCAAGTGCTCTGTGGGAGAGGGCACACGGTGAGGAATGGGGCTGTGGGCAAGGCTGCTGCTCCAGTTTCCATGGGAGGAAGCAGGAGGCATCACAGATGCCTTGGTGGCATCCCAGGTTCAGTCACACTGAAGGTGGCTCAGGAATGCTACACCTGGAACAAGCCACAGCACCCAACAGACAGTGCAGAAACGAAGAGGCAAAGAGTTCACCCTGCACCCAGCACCAGACACACCCCAGTGCCCAAGGTAACGCCAGACCTCGGCCCTGCTGGGGCACTGCCTCATGGCTCTCGCCACGCTCTCTCACATCTCCCCTTGATGCAAGCACAGGTTTATAATTTCAGATTTAAAAAGAAGGTGGAAGTAGGAAATCAGCCCATTGTGGAGGCAGTTTCTCCAGATCTCATTCTGGATCCCRTCTCAGCTGGATCTGAAAGGCAAACTCCACCCTGTTGCTCTGGTCCTCGACAAACAAATCCCCATCCCCTCGCAGCAGGCCAGGAGAGATCAGCCACCCATGAGAGTGTTTTCTGTTTAACAGTCCAGCAGATCTGCCCCAGAAGCTCGGGGCACTCAGTTAAAGTGAAGAACTGCCCTTGGAGGTGGCACTTTGCAGGCATCATCTGAGTTTGCTCCTGCCTCGAGGGTCCAGCCTTTGGTGGAAGCAGCTTGCTAGCAGGCTCCCAGGTCCGTGCCGAGACRGGGGTTACCTTGACACTCTTGTGAGCAGACACAGCAGGACAAGGTTTTGGAGCAGATGACACCAACACGAGGGTGGGCACACGAGGGGAGGAGGGGACACAGAGGCCATCTGCCGGCCCCTCGGCTGAACAGGACAGGACAGGACACTCAGTGCCCTAACAGAGCCGTCCTTCACCTGCTTGGGGCTGGGGTGTCCCGCTCCTCCTGGCTCTGCCGGGAGCCACAGCGCTGTCCTCCTCATGGAGGAGCCCCTCGGTGTCYGAGGAGAGGCGGCTGCTGCCAGACAGGCGGGGAATGGTTTCGGGTGGGAGCCTCCAGGTGATGCRGCGAAGGTCCAGGTCCTCTCCCAGCAGCGGCACAAATTTCCACCTGGAGCCTTTTGGGACAAGGCAAGCACTGGTGTTGGCACGGTGTGCAGGGGACAGGGTGGGCCACCCACCGCCTCTGTGCTGCTCGCTGGGGACGGAAAGGGACAAGCACTGCTGGGGACAATGCCTGTTCACAGCCAGGTGTGAGCTGAGGAGTTCGGGTGGAGCGACCTTCGTGGGACCAGCAGGTGGAGAATGGTGGCAGTGTGACCTGCAGGGGGTTCCTTGACCCCTGGACTGTTCTCCAGYCCCGTGTCCATCATGGCAAAAGGTGAGAGCCAAAGTCCCACCGCACRCCTGTCTCTGCATGAAGAGTCTGCCACGATTGTCCTCTGCTCAGGAGAGGTTCCATCACTCCTCAGTGTGTGCTCGGGGTGGTCAGGGTCTTGATGTTGCCATCACCTCGCTCTCTGGAAGGACCAGGACTCGCTCTTGGGTCCCAGGCCCCGGAGAACCCCCTCAGAGAAGATACTACAGCCACACCTCATCATTTCACTTACAGCCCATGTTCCCCTGTTTGTCCCAGCACAGGACCAGGGAGTGAGCCTCATTCAGAAAGTGCAGGGGTGGAGGAAGAGAGGCCAGGGCCTCCCCAGCACTGCTGAGCTCCCTCCTGTTGGCTTGGMCGAGACCCTGAGCACCCAAGGGATGCAGAGATCTGTGCCTTTGCCGGTGCTTCTCTGCTGACTGTAACTCTTGTGGTCCAGCCAAAGGGAAGATGAGCAGGGAGGGCCATGAAAAGCTCTTCTCCCACCCCACACTGAGATTTCTCTTTGCCTCAAGGTTAAAACAGAGGCACTGGTCTCATTTACGCTGTGACAAGCCAAGTGTTCCCATTTATGCAGCTACTGATCTTTGGAATGGTCGATCTCCACCATCTCCACAACCTGCATCTCCCCATCTCTAAGAGATGGAAAGCAGAAGTGAAGCTTATTGCTGAAAGCTGCTGTTGAGGAAAATGAATGTTGGAAATGACCTTTTCAAGCTCAGAGACACGAACCTGAATCATCAGAGACACTGGGCCGCTTGCTGCCGGCGGGAGAGCGGAGCACGTCTGTGCTGTACATCAGGTAGCTGTCGTAGTCCTCACCTCCCTCAGCATCGATGATGGGGACATCRGGGATGATGGGGACTGCAGGAGGGGTGGGAGGTGGCATTAGACGAGCAGCAAAAAGCTACACAAGCAGCAAAAAACCCCCCACAATGGTCAGGCTGGYTCTCAGCATCCCCTGGTGCAGCAGAGCGAACAGGAGATGGAGAAGCAGCTGGGGTGATGGGGAGCTGCCCCAGCACGGCTCCTGCCCCTCTGCTCCCTGCCCAGGCAGGCACTCACTGGACATGGGGCGCTTGGGCTGCGTGGCGAGGTTGATGGTGGCTTCTCTCTCGGGCCCCCAGCCCGCGCCGTTCCTGGCCTTCACCGTGTAGCGGTAGGGCTGCGACTCGCGCAGGTTCTCGATCAGCACCATGCGCTTCTTGGGGTCCTCCACCTGCACCTTCTTCATGGGCCCRATGGGTACTGCAAGGCAGGGGTACACCTGTCACCTGCCAGGCACGGGGCACCCACAACACCCTGCACTTTGGTGTCAGCTCACAGCCTGGCTCTGCTGGTRCGCTGAGAGCAAGTGCATCATCTCAGGGAAATTCCCAAAATGAACKCTGAAGTCAAGCCACAGCAGAGGTCTCCTGTACTAATAGCACTAATAGTACCTTCCTGGCACACCACCCCTTTATCTAGACCTGTGGACTAAGTTTTTGAGATGAAAAAGAACATAAAATGCTGTGGAAGTGAATGGCAACAGAGCATTGTGGCATTTGTGGGGTTAAATCCTGACTGGGGATTTCCCTGTGCTGACAGGGAAATCAAGAAGAGATTTTCCATCAAGAAGTGACCCCTCCAAATCCCAGTTCTCACAGAAACACATTTGGAGCTGTTCTGGCTCTGCTGCTGCTTGGGACCAGCCCAGCATGTAGGTGTATCCCAGCCCCTGAGCCTGGCTGGACTGTCCCCCACCCAAAAACCAGTTCTCACCATTGTCCTCGTTGACAGGGCCATAGCTGACTTCATAAGCTGTGATGTCCCCGTTGGTTTCTGCAGGCTCAGCCCAGCTCAGCTGGGTCACGGTGGACGACACCACGTTGAAAGCCAAGCGCCCGGGCTCGCTGGGCACTGGGAAGGCAAAAACAAAGGGTCACTGCGAGGTGGGAACCAGAGAGTGCCCAGAGCTCCCCASACCACAGCTGGCTGCASTGRRGGATGYTCAGTGCTTGACCCCATGACCACCAGAAGCTCAGGCCTGACTCCTGTGCTGGGTGCAGAGATACAAATGTGGCCCCACAGGGTGGGAAGGAAGCAGTAGGGTCACTCACCCTCCTCCAGCGTGCGGCAGCGGACGATGTCCGAGTAAACCCCTTCTCCCATGGCGTTGTAGGCACACACTTGCATCTCGTAGTCGCAGAAGGGGTAGAGGTTGCTCAGCTCTGCTGATGGGGTTTTGACATCCATGAGATGGGCTTCTGACTCAGGGTCTCCCTGGATCCAGTATTTCACCTGGCAAAGCAAGAGAAAGACAAGATTCCTTTAGATCCTCACATAACAGGTGAGAAATCCCTCGTCTCTTAGGAAATCTGCTCCTGGAAGGGCGTTGTGCCATCCCTCTGAAACGGGAGGCCAAGACAGTCTGGGCACTTCATAGTAAGTGATGGAAAGGGAGATGAACCCACAGGAATCTTGCTTGCAAATCCCTCATCCCCCAGAGACGGAGGGGATCAGAAGGGGTGAACCTGCTCCCCTTTTGGGATGTACTCAGATCCCTTTGGTACAAACGGCCGTGTCAAACACCTGCAGGAGGGCACCCACGCCTGCTGTGGGGTGACTCACCCCTTACCTTGTACCCCAGGGGTTTTCCTGGTGGAGGAATCCAGTTGAAGTTGATTTCCCTGGAGCTCAGGGCGCACGCATTGGGGTTGAGCGGKGCACTCAGGCGGCCTTTGGGGCTCTGGGGAACCTGGCCCAGGCCAGCCATCGAGGGGCCACCATCCACCAGCTCTGCAGACACAAGGAAGAAATGTCACATCAGTGCCAGTCCCTTCTTGGATRAAAAAAAAGGAAGTGTGTCTCTGAGCACTGCCCTGCCATGCTGTGATAAATACATTATTTATGTTATTGACCCACTTGATGGCAGTTTKCCTTGTCCAGCCACAGGAACCACTGTGCACTGCTCATGGCAAGATCCATCTCTCCTCTATTTTCATAGCTTTTCATTCAGATTCCCAAGGAAAAGGAATTTAGAATCCACTCTATTTCCCCACCCACTGACTATTCACACTCGTGCCTCTAGAGGGGGACCCAAACCTACCAGTCGGAGCTGGAATAGCCTCGCTGGGGCTTTTTGGACGAGGATGGAACTCCGTGCACCACACCGGGGTGGGCTGACCCGGGGAGAGGGTCCCACAGCCCCCGCTGCCACCRCCACCCTGGCTGGCAGCCCCTACCTGGGTCGGCGATGGTCACCGTGGTCTGGGGGTAGCGGCCGATCTTGGCTCCATACTTGGGGTGGAGGAGGTCCACGGCGAACTGCTTGAGCTGGCAGCTGTTCAGGAGCGTGTCGATCTCTGTCAGCTCCAGCAAGGGCACCTGCACCTCTTTGCGGGTCTCCCCGGGCTGGAAGACCAGCTCACCCTCCGTGAAGATGTAGTCCTGGAGGAGAGGGGAAAGAGGTGTTCGAGGTGAGGCTGGAGGGGGCTCTGGACAGCCTGGGGCAGTGGAAGGTGTCCCGCCCGTGGCAGGGGCATGCAATGAAATGAGCCTTAAGGTCCCTTCCAACTCAAACTGCTCAGCGATTTTGTGATCACAGTGTCCATGAGGAGGCTCCCAGAGAAATCCCCCTCATCCCCCAGTTCATCCCCATTTCCCTTCCAGTGCCTGCAGCTCCAGGGGCAGGCAGTGCCCTCTGCCTCAGGCATCCCCTCAGGTTCCTGAGGCACAGGGAGCAAGGGATGGAGCAGAGTATCAACCCTTGTTCTAACCTCGAGCCCTGGGTCCCCCCTCTCCCAGCCACATCCTGACCACCCCTCATCTGCAGCCCCAGAGCTGGCCCCTTCCCATCCCTGCATTCCCACCCCTTCCTGCCAGCCCAGGCCAGGAGCTCCACCCTCACCCTGCCATTCTTGGCAGTGAGGTCCCGGGTCCTGTAGGTCACTTGGGATTTGCCGTTGTCGATGATCTCGCGGAGGACAGGGATCTTGGCCAGCTTGTCGAAGCGGCTGTGGGAGTAGGCTGGCTGCAGGAAGGTGATGAGGCTGCTGGCTGCCAGGGGCGGGAGAGAAGGAATGTGTAGAGCAAACACACGAAGAATCACATCACAAACACTCAGGTGTCCTCCCTGAACAGGGTTCCTGTCACCCATGGGTGTGACCTGTGTGTGAAGTGTCACWGCATGGGCTGGAGACTTCCAGCTCCCAGTTTGTGCTCCCTGCTCCAAACAGCCTGGTGGGAGCAGAGGGGAAGCGCTGGGGATGTCAGCACAGTAACAGAAAAGAGGTTCTACCTCACTCCAGCTCTCTGTGGACTGGAGCAGCAGAGGAATGCACTCAGCCCTGGATCTGTCATGGAATTGGAAGCATCTAAACTTGAGATAGTCAAATGTTTCTGTCAGCAGGGATGATGACCCTCCTCTGATGTCTCAAAAGATGCTCCAGTTTAGACCCAGCTAACTCCAGAAGGGAATCACCAGGCAAGTCCCTGCTCTGTGAGCTGGRGGTGCTCAGAGACACAGACTGTGCCTTACAAACCACATCAGCCCGCGGGGACACGGGACACCCAAACACAAACTCCTGCCAGCAGCCCCAGCTCCTCACCTTGCTCTTTGATGATGGTGATGTTGACAACCCTGCGCCCAATCTTGGCAATGCCATTGGGGACCTCGAGGGCCTCCACCTGCAGCTGCTTCTCATCATCATCCTCCTCCCTGATGAAGAGCGGGACACGAACATCCACCAGCTCCACGGCCTCCTGGAACTCCACCATTCCCTGAGCATCTGGGAGAAGGGGCAAGGGCAAGGGTGAGAGGTGGGGAATAACCCCCTGTGCCCCAGCACCAGGCTCTGCTCCCTACCTTGGTCTGAGGTCACGGTGTAATAACCCGGTGCCACCTTCAGGTCATTGAAAGCCTCATGGGAAACGTGTTTTTCCACTGCTTTGATGATGTCTGCCTTGGCTGAGTAAGGGGCGGTGAGCACGGTGTCCACAATGGTGTGATCCTGCCTGGGAAAGGGCGAGGGAAAGGCAGGTGAGAGCTGAGAGCAGGTAACCCATCTCACACAGGGGCTGACAGTGAGTGTGTGGGGTGCTCAGCCACCCCACAGGTGTGTGTGTGCACAAAGAGGGTGAAGCTGCACCAGAGAATTGCAAACTCCTCTTACCTTTTCCCAGAATTGGGCTGTAACCTGGGGGAATAATAAAAAAAAAAAAACCAAATCAGAGTGACTAACACCTCTGGAGAGACAAAGTGCTGTGTGAATCACAGCCCTGGGCAGGTCTGAGCTGCAGCACTGCCCTGCGGGTGCCAACCCAGTCTGCAGAGCCCCAGCACATGTTCTCTCCTGCCCGGGTTTGCCAACACAATGAGGAACGTGCCCACAGGGCAGATTCACATCTGGATCAGCCCGTGAGGAGGGGACACCACTCCCTGCTCAGCACTGGCATCCCCAAATTCCTCCCAGCCCAGGCACTCCTAAGTTTCTGAAACTTTTGATGCCAGTGGGAATTCTCCCACGGGGCACCCTGCAACCTGGATTAGTTCCTGCTGCTCCAAAGCCAGACCCAGCTGAGATCTCCTCCAGAACTGGGTGGGCTCTGCTCTGCAGCCCTGGGTGSGTGAAGCACCACTCCAGGCTGGTCTGACAGACCACGCTCCCTCCCAGCATCCCAGATTTCACACCCCAGCCCTCTGGCCCGCTCYATCAGCAGCAGTGTCCTGGGGGAACCCTGCCCTGCAGGAGTGTCTCCCCCACTGACCCACCTGAACTTGGTCTGCTGGACCTTGTGGCAGCCAGGAATGTGCTTGAAGACCTCGTTCAGCTGCAGGAGCAAGAGGGGCTCTCACAGTGTGTCCCTCACTGAACAGGATGTGCTCAGCGAGCAAACAGGAGCCCTCTGGCCACCCCAGACCCTCCTCCCTCGACCTCCCACACCGAAGTTTCTTCCCAGAACATAGCAAGAGGCTGCACACTGAAGCCAAACAGGAGCTTCAGATCACATGCCCCAAAGCAAACCCAAAATCTCAACGAGATGCTTTGCTAATTCTTACAACTGCAACCTTGAAAAACTGTGCTTTCTCCCAGAAGAAGAACCATTTCTCCTTCCTTTCCAGAGCTGTGTGGGTTCCCAGGGAAGGGGCACTGCCCAGCCCTCCGTGTGGCTGTCCCCAAGGCCACCCCTCGCCCCCCTGGTGCCCACGCTCGTACGTTCTCCTCCACTTCTTTGCGCAGCTGCTCGCACTCGCGGGTGTCGGGTTTCAYCAGGCTCTGCGTGAAGAGCCGGGCCAGGCGCAGGGACAGCCCGTAGGGAACTGGGAAGAAAAATTCCCACATCAAACTCCTTCCTTCCTGCTTAGAGGAACAGTCCACCCCAAAGCTGAAAGCACGGGGGCACACGCCGTGCTCCGTGTCCAGACCCTGTGTCACCAACACCCAAACCCACAGCACCGGCAGGGAAAGCCCTCTGAGAACCGGAGGGAGAAAAGGGGCCAGATCCAGAGAAGGAAACAGCGTCCGGTGAAGGCTCTGGACTGATGAGGAAGCGAAATCAAAGCTGGGTCACTGAGCTCATGGGACAGAGACACACACAGGGCACATCAGGAGGACCCCAAGGGCTGGACACAGCCGTGCTGCTCAGCTTCCCCCAGGGTAACGCTCTGGGGCCACCACCAAGGCTTTGGGTCCTTCACGGCACCCGCGGCGTCTCCCCTGTCCCGTCCCTCGCAAGTGGCACTCACCGAGCTCCTTGGGGTTGGTGGCAGCGGGGGAAGGGACGCTCTGCTTGTGCACGTTGTTGTGGATCCTCCAGCGCACGGTGTCGCGGCCCTTGAGGGAGCCGCTGCGCACCAGAGGCGTGTCCAGGTGGTCRGAGGACATGAGGCTCTGGCGCAGCATGTAGTGATCCTCCTTGAAGCCAACGGTGCGACCTGCAGGGCCGGGGGTGCAGTCAGAGCCTGGCTACAGCGCCAGCCACCGGCTTCCCAA